AGCGAGGCTCTCAAAACCACCCAAAACATATGCATCCATACCAGACAGGCATGGCAATCCGAAATGGCAGGGGGTGATAGCGGTCTCTCAAGAATCAAATGACCCGCGCTTTCGATACAAACATCAAGCTACCCTCCCGAGCTTTTTGATATTGCATTTTACAAATAGTTGAGGTTTACCTCGGAATTATTGAGGACTTCAGTCCTATTCGTGTATGATTAATCTGGTGCTTGATCTACCTACCTACCTATGTCGAAGTAAGTAGTTGGAACCTCATCCAGTACGAAGCTTTTCGTCCTCACCGGTATGACACTCCACCGATTCTTTAAGAGTGGTCCTCCCTACTGCGTTATCATAACCTTCAAGTCTCTCAGAGTGATTGGTCTATGTTAAGCTTCACTACGCACGAAGAAGAGACCAAGACTCATATATGTGGTGAGATGTAGTTTCTTGATAGTTCATAGCCAGCACATCTAGGCAGGGCAGAGCCATCTGCTTTCCAGAGAGCGTCAGCAACTTCGAGAATCTCAGGGTCTAGCAAGCGCTAACCAGATGCCAGCCGTCGTCGATGGGTCTACCATCCTTCATTTGCATCCCAACTGATGCCAAGCGAAGAAGTATGCCCGAAAATGGCGGCTGGCTAGTGACACTTCCCACTAACACATTGATGAGAAATCGTCCGGCAATCAATATAGAGAGTTACGTGTTACATCCTGCAATGAAACACCAAGGTGTCAAGAAACAGGCCGTATCATCTTTTCACTGGTGTGGAAGACAGTGGGTTTCTGATTTCTTGGCTTTAAATAGAGCTTCCAGACTGTAGATCCTACTTCTTATCAGCCAAGCTCATTGGAGTCAATAAATGTAACTTAACTTCTCTTCGTAGCAGGTTTACATACCCACATTCTAGCTCGAATGACTCGACAGGGGTTTGCTTACTCGAGTGATAGCGGTGATACGGTTCAATTCATCATGGTCTGATGTGGATTCACGCAATGATACCTCACTACGTCTAGCAGGAACCTGCTGAGCTGCAGGCATCGATCATGTATAACTTGGTTTACTTTGGGGATAGGTCGTCGCATCTTATAACGTGGATAGCAGGCGAAACTGATGTTTGCTCAATCCATTTAGGGATTTTTCCAGTCGAATGCACCAGTTCCTTCACTCGGTAATTGATCTAGCAAAGCCCGCTCCAAGATAAGCATCTTCTCATTCTCCAATTTTTCATTAGTGGATGTACTGCTTTGATCTTTGTTCACTTAAATACTCATAATTTGTCCATCTTCTATAACAAACAATAACTCAACCTTGGGATGTACAGAAAACATAGTGATAGTCAAGAGGCTTGTAAATTTTCCCTAGCTGAATTCACTCTCGCCTATGCTACCGTCAATGAACAATAGAAAGTCCTGCAAAGGAATGATTCAAGGTCTCATCCTCCAAGTATCCTGCAGGCATCCTCTGGAGCCGACCTTTCCAGCCTTTTTTTTTTTTTTTTTTTTTCAGTCTGCTAATGTCCACCGGCATTTAGACTTGAGCGGTAGGGTTGACTCGAACTCGGCTTGCCCTTGACCTACCTTGATAGTTACTGCCAGGTATACTTGTGGGGGGGGCGTGGTTCCGAGGCATGGGACGATCGTATTCTAGTACCTAGCTCACCCACTTAGGAGGCGTTGCTTCTTACCGCACAAAATCAGAAAAAAGCAGCACAAGGTTTTCAATTTATGTTTTAAAAACCATATATGCACTTTCCTTAATTCAATTGTTGTTGACTCGACGGTTGAGGAGAAGTAGTTACCACTTGCTTGAAACCACAGCCTGTAGAATGGCTGTCGAGATAGGGCAGGTCTAGGGTAATCTGGTAAAGTGGGATTGTTAGGTGTACCTGCGGAGGTAGGTATATAGAAGTTAAAAACCGCACATTTGTCATCAGCGCCTCACTACAGCGGCTGCCAACAGCCGGTCCGCCCACTCTTGATGGGTTAGGAATTCTTCCGTAGTATAGTGGTCAGTATGCAAGCTTGTCACGCTTGAGACCCGGGTTCAATTCCCGGCGGGAGAGACCGCCACACAACTTGAGTTGTGATTCTTTTTTTGGCCCTTGAGATAATTTCTTATGAGAAATCTCTCTCCGTGGTTTCTTGCCATGTACAACGTCTGAAGAGTTATGGTCATCAGAGCCTCTAGCTTGAACATTGATGCCGTATGGAGTGACCCAGGAGGAAATCGGTGGATCAGTCAATTAACACCGTCGTGGCCGTTTGTTCACCCCTGCCTTATGCATGTACGGACCTGCACATGCGGCCTCCGATGGCACGAACCAACCACGATCAACCATGTGTTGGTGGGGGCTGGGTCGCACATTTGGTGGTTCTGAGTTGTTCCTCTGTTAGTGGTAGAGGGAGACGGTCAACGAAGGTAGTTGAAATGAGCATACACCAAGAACAAAGCAGGCAATCTGGTATCACCAAATGCTTGCTGGTAAATACTGCACTGGTTTTAATGAGCATTGCGCAAGCCTTGTACGCAATTCGGAACCTTATGTGGCAGGGATATGTGTTTTGGCGTGCTGACATCCTGCTTTCGCTGACCTGCATGGTAAGGTGATAATAATAATCGAATCACAAAACCTTTTCAGCTTGATGAGTCCTCTCCATGCCACTATCCCATCGTGGCGATCAGTGCCCAGACAGATTAGCATGGTGAGGGATAAGCTTTTCGTTTGAAACAACCTCATCCAATCGACAGTTGCCAAAAGTCGCGGCAACGATGCTGATGATACCCGACGTGCGGGCTAGGCCACCGAAAAAACAAAAAAAAACAAAAAAAAAAGGTCGAGAATTGACGTGGCCACGGGAGGTAATTTCGGTTCATGTTTCACCATACGCAAGCCTCCTGCCACTAGCCAATTCCACTACGGAAAATGGCGCCAAAACTGAGTCGGGTTCCGATTTGCTGAGATGTGGCTACTGATCGGAAAGCTAAGTCAGGCACACAAAGATAAACATTGCACTAAAAGGAGTGGCAATGATGAACGCATGGGATATCTCTTATTCTTCCAGAAGCTGCAATAAATATAATCATTGAGACCTTTGCTATTAAGATAGTCGATCACCTCCTGGTAGACGCGGGAAAGGATTGGCAATGGGCACCGGGGAGGAAAAAGTGCAGCTAATGTTGAAGAGCTCTACCAATGAGATCAGATGTCGGTACATGCCTGGCAGCAGGCAGGTAGGTGGTAATCATGCATGGTGTGTAGCAGGTGCGTAGTAATACACCTCACCCAGAAGATTGACGAGACAAACGCCCTGGTGAGGCACGAGGAGGCCAGGATCTTGCGATAGACTCCCTAGAGCCGCGGAAATTGCCTAAGATTCCCCAGGTAGCGAAATATTAGCTGTGGCCATGAATAGACAGACTTTTCTTGGCTGGGCATCCTGCCTGTGCCGTTATTAAACCAGGTTCAGAAAGGGTAGGTGGAGGATGAGCTGGTGCTGCAGTGAGCACACATCAGATGGCAGGGACCTTGGGGCGAGGTATTTAGTGTCTATGCTGGCCGTGAGAAGGGGACTTGTATACGAAGTACCTCATAATTAATGCGCGGTTGCTCATAGCACGAGTGTTACTTGGTCATTTTGCAGCTGGCAGTGGCCACGGACGTTTCTTTCTTTCCTTTGAGTCTGTACCTGCAGAGAGGGTGGTGGGGACTTGCGGTCGGACCAGTGAGAAGGTGCCCCGATGTTTCAGTCGGATGACCGTCAGGCACGGAATGGCACTAACAGGGCTACTGACCGGTTCATTGGTAGCGGTTGGAAGGTCGGGTAGCTTCCAATTGATCCCATCTCTCTTTGTTGCTTTCTTTTGCCGCCAGGGGGCCGGTGCGCAACAACCAGCCCGCTCTCTCTGGTCACCTCTCCGTAATCAGGGAGTGTTCCATCCTACGTGCGAGCTACCAGCTTTGCCCACTACCTAGGGCCTGCTGGGCCACGTATCGCGGATGTTGCCAAACCGCCACCAGCTGGGCATCCAGACTAGCCGACACGTAACCGACTAATTAATGTTTGTGGACTTTCTTTCTCTGGCCCATAAATTTGCTCACTAGCTGGTTCGGCGTCAACGCATCCAGATGCTGACACTCAAGAACTTCGGCGGCAGCTACTCTTTTTCTTTCACTTTGGTGCTGAGCTAGGCCGCCTTGGACCGGCATCAGCAATAAATAGACGGGGAGATGAGCCAACCTGTCTTATCCATCATGCCCTAGGGTCCGGTGCGCACATGGCTGTTGTGATGGCACCAGGCAGTATTACGACATTTAGACCCAGGAGGGACAGGCCCTTTCTTGGCCTTGGACTAGGAGACGCATCCCTGCTTCAGTCTGAGTAGTCTGCAAGCCATGCCTCCTGCCCCTGTCAGAAATGGCCACTTTTGGTTAGACGAAGGACGGCTTGCTGCCAGGGGCACGACATGAGACCCTGGCGTCGTGCCCGAGCCCTGGTATCCTTGAATAGATCCAGGTACACACCATGATGCATGGCCTGAGTCCCACTCAGTCTGGTCTTCCCAGCTGTGGTCCTATACGATGCCACCAGCAGGAAGAGGCCCGCAGGAAGAGGCTTCTCTCTCTGCTTTGCCCTCCTTTCTCTGGCTTCATAAGTCTCAGACCCCCGTCAATCCCCCACGAGGATCATCTCTCTCTATAAACCCATACACTCCCTTGGTTTTGCCAGACGTTTATACTGTCACCCACGTTCTTTCGGCTGCGCCGTCCTTGAAACCGTCAAGCTCAAGCATTGCTCCGCTGCTTCACGCAAGGACCACTCATTCGGCCTTCATTTTACAAGCGTAAAGATCCCTCATCCTTGTCGACAGGTCGCAAGGTTTATCCAGTTGTGCCAATCCTTCGTTCATTCAAGAACCCCCAAATATCCGCTTCCCTTACCAGTTCCCATTCACAGCAACCTCAATTTCTGGTCCTCGTCCTCAATCAAACCACCAAGATGATTGGCAAGCAGATCGTTGCTCTTACTCTGCTCTCCGCTCTGGCGGATCAGACTCTGGCTGCTCCTGGCCACCAGCACCGCCAGCTCCATGCTGTCGAGAAGAAGCGAGCATTGGAGATCGAAGTGGTCACTAAAATCGTCACCGTCACCGTCACCTACGGCGCGGAGCCAACCAAGGACGACAAGGGCGGCATCTTCGTTTCCGTCCCTGACACCACCTCTACTTCTGTCGCCGCCGCTCCAACTGTCGAACAGCAGGTTGACAACCAGAAGCCTGCTTCCTCCAGCAGCTCCGCTCAGGTTCAGGAGAATGCCAAGCGACCCTCCACCTCTACCTCCACCTCCACTGCTGCTGTCACCACTACTGCTCAGCCTACCACCATTGCCCAGCCCACAACTACCGCCCAGCCCACAACCACGGTTGTGCCATCTTCCTCCTCTTCGACCAGTTCGGCGGCCCCGGCAAGCACATCAGCGTCTTCCGGTGGCTCTGGAGGATCGAAGCGTGGTATTGCTTATAATGACGGTGCTCTGGCTAGCAAGCTCACCGGTTGCTCCTGGGCCTATAACTGGGAGACCCAATCTAAGGGCGGACCCTCTGCCAAGTACATCCCCACGCTGAAGGACGCCTCTACACAGTGGATCTCGTGGTTCGATGAGCAGGTAGCGAACGGAGACTCGCTCACCTCGAGCTCCCTCAATACCGTATTCTCTGCGAACGAACCCGACAATGGAGGACAGGCCGGCGCGACCATCACGTCCGTTGCCGCGGCTGTCCAATTCCAAATCACCCACTTCAGCAAGGACAGCAAAGCTGTTTCGGACTTGATCAAGAACGCCAATGTTGGTGCTCCATCCGTCACAAACGGCCAGGGCGACAACCAGGGTCTCAACTATCTCAAGCAATGGGTTGAATCATGCAAGGCGACGGACGGTTGCAGATACGATTTCTGTAACCTTCACTGGTATGACAAGATGGACGCCGAAGACACCCTTTTCTCCAATCTTGAGAAGGCCCACGAGATTTGTGGCACACCTGTCTGGCTGACCGAGTTTGCTGCTATCGACGAAAACGAGGAGGAGATCGCTAAATGGCTTCCTGGCGTTCTGAGCAAGCTGGATGCTTTGGATTATGTTCCGAGATACGCCTACTTCATGGCTGGAAGTTCTCAGAAAGTTGGTTGGAACCTCTTCAACTCCGATGGCTCGCTCAACGCCATTGGCAAGGCTTACACTGGCACCGCTTAGCTCAGCCAAATATTTTACATATAGCTCGCGACATGTTCACGAGCGGGAAGAGGTCTAGCTGGCTCGTTTTGCCTCAACATGTTGGAAAAGATTTTTGGGTTAATCTATATTACGGCGTCGGGATTTCTTGAATATTCCTTTGTATATACTTTTGGCATCTCGCATGTCTTACAAATGATACCTAGACCAAAGGGCTATTTTCGCCTCTCTGACGCTGACTTGCTGTTGATTTGTGTATCCTCAACCTGAGTGTTTGACGATTGATTAGTGTTCTAGTGAATGCGATGGGCAATCTTGCGCATCACTGAGCGTATCTACTGATCGGGCTGGCAGAGAAATGCGGCCAGGGACTTGTGGACTAGCTAAGGACTATGGCCTACTAGCGATGACGACGGACATGCCCCTGAGCAATTGATGGTGTGGCCATCCATTGATCTTTCTCGCCTTATTGGTTTCGCCCTGTCGTTTATTGGCCGCCAAGCCGCCAAATGCTTCAACGGTTGGGTGAATGAATAATTGGTGAGCTCAGATGGCGCTCGAGAAATGACGGAGTCATCACAAAGTATTCGGTGTCATGCACGCAACGCCACTTCCGTTCGGTGGAAATGATATCATGGTAGGTCAACAATTTATTAATGTGCATGTCTTCTTATCATTCGTTAGGGCGACGCGTTGTTCAATAATGTCTAATGCACCAACCTCCCATCCACATATGTACAAGTTATCTCCATAGCCCAGCTAGCGATAACGAGGATGGGACGAACTGGCAAGAAGTTAAAAATAACACACAAAGGGCGTCGAGCACGTCCACCAACCAACAAAAATAGATCGGACGATGAAGCGTCGTCGAGATCTGCCAAGGAAAAGAGCATGAACCAACAAAGAAACAGGGAACAGGGAGTTCTGCCCATCACCCGCGCGCCGTCCCAAACTCTAAAAGTCGCAATGCCGATCGCTGTTAAACACCCTTGAAACACATCTCGTCTATCAACGCTTCGATCGACCAACACAATCTTTTTCTCTTGGCACCAGAACCCCCCGCACGTGGCTAGCGTTGGCTCTGGGGTGACCCTCCGCTGATCCTCGTCTGCGGCTTGGAGAACCCATCTCCTGCCCTGGCCATCCGGGGCGAGTGCTGGTAGCCGTGGTCGCCGACCCCTCCGGCCCCGATGGATATGCCCCCGCCGTTGGGCCTGCTCTCGCGCTTGATGGTGGTGGTGACGACGACGGTGCCCTTGGGGTTGGCGGCCTTGGAGAGCACGGCGTCGGCCTGGCTGTCGACGTCGTCGTCGTCGTCGAAGTCGGAGTGGCGGCGGCTGGCGGTCGACCTGGCCGCCGTGACGAGGGCGATCTCGTCCATGGTCGAGGGCGGGGGCTCGGTGTCGGAGCCGCTGTTGCCGTTGTGCCTGCGGGGAGGGGTGCCGGCGGCGTTGTTGTCGGGGAAGCCATTGCCAGCGCCGCCGTGGGAGGAGACGCTGCCCGAGGTGCCGGCGTTGTCCTTGGATGTGACCCAGTGGATGACGGCTGCTGAGAAGAGGACTACGGGAGAAGAGAACCTGTTAGCCCGCCGCTTGCTTGCTTCCGGTTGGGGGGGATTGGTAGGCCATCTCGAGATATCCACGTGGTTGGAAGAGGGGGGCGGGAAGGTTTGGAGCAAGGTTTAGACTTACCGTCACAGTTGCAGCACATGAGGCAAACCCAGCCCGGCTCTCCGTTTAACGCCATCAGCACGGTAAGGTTTCTGTTAGGAAAGGATTGTTAGTTTATGACTCGAGGTCGGGAGCATATGTCCGAGGAGAAACAGTTTGCGGGATGGTACTAACGTGACACTGCTGATGAGAGTGCAGAGGGCTCCGATAAAGGTTCGGAGGGCGACATTCTGGAGATGGTAATTTGCTTGGGTTCGTGCCAATTTTCTGAACTTGTAGATTTCTGTCGTCTCGCGTTAGTTGAACCGGTACTCGGGCAGTCAGCTGTCAGGTTTTGCACTTACTCCTCAATGGGACGAGGAACAGGAGGGTCAGGTAAGCGTTGGCAAGGGAGTCGAATGTGATGAGCGGTATAATACCGACACCTTCCATTCCGATAAAGCATTGCCCTTGTTCCATTCGTACGATTCGGCTGGCAAGTGATGGTTAGCCATGTCCACTCCTCGTGAAGCTCCGCCAAGCTTAGCCATTGAACACCACATACTAGAGGAAATTTAATACAATGATAATGATGAAGATGCTCATGATTCCGAAAGAGTTGAACAAGTACAGCTTGGACTTCAAGCGCTTTTTCGGCGTGCCGCGGATAATGTACTAGAAGTCTGATATCAGTAAAGGAGCAAAGCAGTGCAGCATAGGGGTCACTCACGGCTTTCTCCACCAGGAAGAGATAAATTAACTGTCTTTTCATCAGCAATAGGAACCTCTAAATGAACTTTATGGTGTCTTACAAGCTGTAGAGATGACTGTTAGTCCACAAGTATTCATTATGCTCATGGAGCGAATTGGGATGACTGGTATAACATACCTTGGTTGTGACATAGCACGCAAGGCAAAGTAAAATAGCTCCCTCGCACAAGTGTTTACTCGAATTGACGCCAAAAGCATGTTGCAACAACGCTGTTGTAAAGACGAATAGATATGAATCGATGTTGATGGCGAACACAACTATGTCGTTGTTAGTTACAGTAAAGGATATCACACGGAGAGGCACTCACGCCAGACGATGTAAGGAAGTCTCGCCCAGACCTTGATGGCCAGTGTTCTTTGAGCTGGAAGGATAAGCGTTAGCTTCAAAGGCAAGCTAGAATATTCAGATGAGAGGTAGCCTTGCGTACTGATAAACGACGTGATGGCAGTGAGGGCAACCATCGTAATGAGAACACTCATTACTTGGCCAGCAACAGGTACCATGACCTGTGCGGTGCGGGTCAACAACATCGGAGCCATTGTGACCTGCACCCTATCCTCTCGAGGCTGGCTTGAGGATTATCTTGGATGAGGGTAGATTAAAGGGCCGGCATTTAAACCAGGTCCCTTCTCTTCTCGGTGTCTCTCCTTGGCTGTAAGAGACTGGCCAAGCAAATTCGGAGAAGTCTGTCACCACTCCCAACGCAAATCCGTGGGCAGAAGTAGATCTTGCTGATAGCACCAGCAAGATTCGATACCAGTATAGCTGACACTGATACTGCAGGATGGGAGACGATTCGTGAGTGAGGATGCGGACTGTTTCCTGGTATGAAACGGCCCGTCGATGGGACTGAGACGTGGTAAGTTGTAGGAATAGCTGGACTTGGGATGGAAGGATGAGGAGTATCGGTCGTCTATGATCTTTATGTTCCGTTTGTCTATCTTTCGATTACGCTGGGGTATTGGAAGAGAAAAATACAACGTTGACAGTGTAAGGAGGGGATCATTGCGGAAGAGCGAGAAGGTGGCGTGCGCTCTTCTTTTCTATATAGTCTAATTGCCTCTTCTCACTTTCCGCTCGATTGGAACCGAACGGAGAATTAATGAGCCAACCGCCTCTGTACCTCATCCATCCTCCCGACTTCAGCCCAGCGGAGACGAGACGCAGTGGCGGAAATGCGAGACCGTGAGTCGAGCTAAGGCAGAGGAGCTGCGCGATCCCCAAGCCACACTATTGCCTTCGGGCACAAGCTGGCCAACGAATGGCCGTTCCGCGACTAAGACATGAGCTCGTCAGAGACATACATAATACACGGCCCCGACTTTCCTCGCCTTGCCCCTGTGGCCCATTGTCTGGGCCTTCGCTCAGGCCTCTCGCTCTCTCTCTCCTCCCCCGCACCACCCACCCCCAGAGAGCCTCTAGCTGGCCTTAGTCTGTGGAACCAGAGCCTGCTTCATCGGCAGCTAACGAGGAGCAGGCTGGGCGATGACGGATGTGGTGATGGCGTCCAGCAGATTCCATCCAGCAGAATCTAGCCTGGGTATGGGAAGGTGAGGGTAAGGCAGAACCAAAGGGGCAAGGACAGACACGGAGCTCCCGTCTGGTCGGTGTCGATCTACACGTGTGTATTTACCATGTATGTCTTCTGCGGCGATGGTGTATATGAGACTGGACATGAGACAGATAGACTTCTTCCATGCCGCACTATCCCCATCCATCTCATCTCAGGCTCCCAAGTGACAGATAAGCGAATGGCTGGGTTTCCTGCCCTATCACATTTTCCTTTTTATTTCTTCTCTCTTCTCGTATTGCTTAGCTTGCACACAGATGAGCCCAGGCCTCGAGTCTCGACTCCCGATTCCCAGGACAGAACACGGGGTCCGAGTCTTGAGGCGTCTGACGAATCATTTTTCTCTTCAGCTGTGAGCTCACCGTCGCCCAAATATTGCCTTTTCCTTGCGACACCTCATGTCTTGGCCTCTTTTTCTTTTTCCTTTTCCTCTGGAATTGTCCGCTAGCGAGATGGATTCACCAGCATCAGGCCACATCATTGTTTCTGCCTACTAATCAACAAAAAAAAAACAAGGAGAAAACATCAGACATGCATGAAGCTGCATGCGTGCACGCAAGTACAGAGAGGTATGAACTGCATCTCGTCCCGACCGTCTCCTGCTGTGCACCCGGCGAGAAGAGACGAAAGGATGTGTCGAGCAAGATCCTTCTTCCCTTCCCACATGCTCTCAAAGCTATAAGGTAATATGAGCCTGATCGGCGGCGATGGCTTCCTTATTTATTAGTCCAACCCGATTGATCTCCAACGCCACACACACACACATATTAGATTTGCCTGTTTATGTGCGACTTGTGCAAATCTTGGATCTATCGCCAAATCTTGATCCGGAGCTTGCCTCCCCCCCTTTACAAGAGCGACACACCCACAGGTATGATGCATGTGGCCCATGTACCTGCGTGGTAGCACCACCCAAATTCTAGAGATACGCGTTGAGTTGCCCAGATCGCCCCGTGGAAGGGCATCCCATGCGGTTAAATAGGTTTAGCTACCGACCCTACGGTTCCAGTAGCGCAGCGGGAAGGGAGGGTCGCTTGACTTGGTGCGTATTGGTGCGTAAGCGATTTTGGGGCAGAAGCTGGGGAGGAAAAGCCAAGCCCAGAACGAGAGAAGGGCAGGATCCAAAAAAGCCAATCTCGACGCAAAAGAAAAAAAGCAAGGTCGATGCTCCCGAACTCTTGGAGGCCGTGATTGGGCAGACGGGGCTAAGCCAAAGAAGCAAAGGGGGACGAAGGATTGAACCCAGGGCGTGACAAGAGGTTTCCCGAATTGCAATACATTGTGCAACAGCAAGAACTGAGAATATAGTACTGCCCATATTAGGCCGTGGGGCCGATGATGGGGAAGCGCCTCTCAGACTGGACTCGATGATCCCCCAGGCGGCCTCCAGTTCCCTCCACAGCGAGGCTGGAAAGATGCCAAACCGCCGGGAGACGCGAGCGAACGGAGCTGAATTGGCAAACTCGATAGATCAAGCGCCATGTCCTCCTGCTCGAAATCCGCCAATAAGAACGAATAACCTGTTTATCAACGGAGGGAGAGGGAGCAGCACGTATTCCTCGTTCAGACGCTCGCGCAGCAGCAGAGCAAACGGGCGTCCTTGCGGCTAGCTGACTCGTGCCTGATGTGGTCGACGACAGCCGTGGTGTATCTTCTAAAATGCCTCTTGTTGGAAGGCACTAGATCTGCACTGCCTAAGCTCGTCGCCACACCTCAACTCGAGCGACAGCCCTCATCTGCCGGTAGCTCGAGACCATTGCCAACAAACATGGATAAGAGTACCGCGATCTACACTTTTAGCTTCATCATGATGCATATCTCTATGGGGAAAGTAGAAGCCTATCTGCTCATTCAAATCCAATAACCCATAGTTCTCCCGGACCATGCTACACCAATCAAACACCTACGGGCTTTTACGGGCTTTTACGGACTTTGAGGCACCTGGGCGGTGATGCCCGAACCTGGTACGTAGTAGATGGACAGAGACCACATGTTCGAAAGAGGAATTCATTGAGTCTTCGGGATCTATGCGGTTCGACGAGCCGAAGCCACATGCCTTCTTTCCTCTTTCCCTCCCAGTTGTCCGCGAGTCGGTCGTTACTTGGTATATGTTCATCCTGTCCAGTCTCATTCCATCCCGTACCCGCCGTCAGTGATGTGGTGTGCTTCCACCGACTACCAAAAACGCCTTGCAATGCTTTTGAATCTCACACATCTATGGGCCCCAAGGTTGCCATAGTCAACTGATCCCAACGCCTTTATCAATTTGTGAAGGAAAAAAAAGTCTGTCCGCAAATCGACAGAAACCCCCATTCGTTGTCTCGCCGCCGGCCGTATGCGGTGCGAAAAGATGATTATGAAATATAAGAGTGCCCATCGTAGACACCCTTAGGGTATAAGTAGTTGTATATCGGCGGCCTATTTTTCTGCCATTTCCCGCTCAGGAGCTCCGCCCCAGTGCCGACTGAGACTTGGTCAGAATACGAAACTTCTCCCTAAGCTTGTCGGCAAAAGGGGTCCCTTGGTGGCGCTGCTCCTCTTCGGCTGGTTGACTCTCTTGGAGTTCTGAAGCCGCACTTTCGCGAGTGATTCTATCCTCTCGAAGTTGCCTTAGAGCCTCCATCTGCTCTTCGGCCGTTGCCTGTCGAAGCCTGTTGACGTCAAACAGCCTGGATACTCGGTTGCGGTTCGAGCTCTGGACGACATCGTGTTCGCCCCCTTCCCATGCCAACGGAGGTGGCAACGTCATATTCCCCTCGACTTCGTGACCATCTTGAGATTCGCGGTGTCCTGGGCGAAGATCAAGGCGGCTGTAACACTTCAGGGTCAGCCATGCGCCGGCGATACATCAGAAAATTCGGCCTTGTAAACTTACCATAGTGGACAAGTCCCAGAGATGTTAATCAGCCAGGGGTCAATACAATTGGGGTGGAATTGATGGTTGCAGGGGAGAACCCTAACATCCTCACCAACTCTGAAATCTTCAGTGCAGATAGAGCACCTCATGTCAGTTTCCGAGGACACGTCGCTATCGGTCCAGACGTCTGACGGGCGCCGTACGCTCTCGGTCCCATCAACTGCTTGGCCGGATTTGAGCTCGGTCGTGTGTGACATGGCACGTTGGGCAGGTGTCTCGTGGCCATCTGTGGTTGCTGTCTCCATTTCAAGATCGGGATCAGGCTTTGATGGACGCTTGCCTCCGAACTTGACGATGGGTATGGTTTCCAAGACAGCCTTGGCCAGTCCCTTTGCTCGGCTCTGAGAGGGCCGATCCCCATCTGCTCGCCTGGGGCCATATCGCTCTGGATAACGATGAGCTCTTACGGCTCCTGTAACGATGATGAGAAGAAACAGGAGAGTGATGAGTCCTGTTATACTATATAGAATACTCATTGCAACCTGCGACTTCTTCCCACCCGCATGGTCCGGGGGCACAGGCTTGGTCATGTCCGTCGTATTTCCATAGATGGAAACCCTGACAGCTGGCGCTGAAGCCGTTTCGTTGATATGAGAAAGGACAGCAGTCGCTTCGGCAGGGTCGACCATGGAAAGGATGCTAGGATAAGGTAGATCTCTGGTATTATCGAGAAAACACCAGTTCTTACTAGTAGTGTACAGGACGATGGCTCTGGGAGCGGCATTCATCAAGACATCAAGCATGGCTAGCGGCAAGGGCTTTGAAGAGTCGTCGGGCTTGTCGCAAGACATGTAGGCAACGTCGTCTGGGTCCGTGATGTTCATGTAGTTGGAACTCTTGGCTGATTTGAAGGTGCCATTGAATTGAACGATCTGATGGTGGTTAGCTAGGCCCAGTCTTTTGGCGAATACCGCAGTGCCAAAGACACCCTCTCTCGTACCTGGCGCGAAATACTGTTGCTACCGAGCCCTAAGCCTTCAGTCAACGGAATGACGGCATAGTTAGTGGAATCTGTCGTCAACTTCATCTGGAGCGTGCTCTCGAGTGCCCAT